CACACACTTTATGCAGACAGCAAGAAGTGCTGTGGTGTTTTGTTGGGTTTTGTTTTTGTTTTTTTAAATTACTCTCCTGTCCATGTGTCCTAGCTTTTTTCACTCATAAACACCAAGTTGGCTGAAGTAGAGGTCCAACACTGAGTGCTTTGAAAGAAAGCGTTTGATTCCTGTTCACTAAATGCCATTTCTTGCAGGGTAGTAGATTTAAGGGCTCTGCCCTTAAAGTACAGTGCTATTGACCCTAGTTTGAGGGTTCAAGCCCACCCATGGGTTAACTTCAACAGATGAAAATTTTTCCTTGGCTACAGCAACATCCCTAATCCTGACCAGCCATGGAGAGGTTCGGTTCTTACAAGGAAAATGAGTGAATGTGGGAATGGCTCACCACATTGGGAAAACAAAACTCACATCCTGCTGATGGTTGGCTGAGGACTGTCATGTCCACATACAAAGAAAAGCATGTGGCACAGTTTTAGGACAAAGGTGAGCAGAGATCCACCGTGGAAAGGGGCACATTTTTGATACAGAGAGAACATCCGAGGCATGCCCCTCAGCGAGCAGTGTTGGTGGGGGGCCGCAGGCTCACGCATGGAGGCTTGCTTTCCTTGCCCCCCGGGTCCGCTTCCTGTCCGTTAGCTGGTACCCAGCACCCCTCAGTCAGTCCCTGCCCAGGTAGCCGCTGGTCAGCCTATCTCCAGAGCAAGCCACGCTTGTCGTTTTTCAAACAGGATTTTCTCCAGTCTCCCTCTTCAGAGATGATGTTTGGAGAACAGAGATGACCCTAAGCTCTTCCAGAAGGGGTGAGATGAACTCTACACCCTCTTCTGTGGAACCTACCAAGTGGTATTTGGAACCATTGGTATAGGTTATTAGGATCAGGGAAAGTCTGTTTAGCAACAACACAAGCTCAGATGATAATTCTTCAGTGAATTCTTTTAAAACTGAAGTCTTGGAGTACTCCAGTTTGAAAACCATGTCGTTCCAGTTCTAACGTTTCAGCGTCGCAACTGAGAGCCTGAGCAGTACGCTAGGTGTTGAATGAGGGAGGCCAGAGCACTGGTGTGGTGGAGGAAGGGACTGAAGGTTAGAGCAGCCCGCATCGTGCACTGTGGCTTTTGTTTGTGATGTCCAGCTGCCTGGCTATACTTGGTAAGAATCATGGTGCCCACTTTCTTTAGGGAGAAAATAACAGAAACTCCCATCCTGTCATTTTTTGACTCAGTTTGTCAGAATAAAACACGACCCCAAGAAAGAGAGTTTGGGAAAAGGCAGCAGTAGAGAAATCTTGTAGAAAGTTTTTCTTTTAATTGATAACTAGAGTAGGTTTAACAACGAGGCCGTTCTGTTCGCCCTTTCACACAGGCAGAGGGGGGAGAGGCCGAGAGGCATGGCCTCTCCAGGAGCCCAGCAAGAGAAGGGACATTGGAGGGGTTGGTTTGGTTTGGTTTTAGCAATCCCTGCCACAGAGGGATTTTTAAATTGGTTATAGATTCAGTCTCCAGAATTCCTTAATCTTCTTTATTTTCATTCTAGAATTATTGAAAGATGGTCTTTATTTTTAATAGAGCAGAAGAGAAAGGGGGTCTGCAGCTAGAATTGAGAAATGTATCACCTGTTGGGCTGTGTTCTCGTGAGGCCTATTCTCAAGTCACACCAGGGATAAGTATGCATGTGTGTGTTTACTATCGCTCCTTCCTTTGACAAAGGAATCAAAAGGACAGTACTTTGGGGGAGCAGAGATTAGTTTCATGTCATTTTCTGCAAAGCACAAATGTTAAAATGGATTAAGAGTCTCTGACATTATCAGAGAGCTCTTTGCTTTCCTGAAGGCACTAAAATTTCAGAGACAGTTAAAATGTTTAAATAAAACTGTAGGGGACCCAAACAGTAGTTTTAAAAGGTATTTTAGATAAGAATTTATCCCTGTCTATCTGTCACTCTTGTATCCCTCTGGTGCTACCACATTAGTTTAAATTGTCCCATCATTAAGCCAGAGGGGGACTAACTTTTAATTGTCATACTTTCTGATGTTAGAAGAAACCTTAGACATACGTAGTATAGCTCCATCTTTTCACAAACTAGACCCAGAGAAATAAAATTATTTAAATGTGCTTTTCACAGTTGGTTTATAGCTGAACAAGGACTAGAACCCAAACCAGTGCTTGTTTCTTGAGTCTTACTAGTTACAGTATGCCTCAGTTTCCTCATCTGTGAAACAGAGATAATAGTAACTGACTCCTGGGTGTTGTGAATATTAAATAACATTTTCTTGTATATGGAAATTAATAAATGCTAAGTAATTTTGTTTTTATGTAGTCTTCCTGCCTCATTTGGGGAACCCTTTCACTTTATTGAATGAAGTAAGTCATTCTTTCAGTAAAGCAGATCTAAATACAGTAATGTGATAGAAGCAACCATACTGACCTGGTCTTTACTTTGCTCTTAGAGCAGGCGTCTCTATCAAGTATGGTTTGTGGTTGTAGGAGGATATTTGGTTTAATCTTCCAATCCCACCCAACATGTCAGTGGCAGAGAGAAGTGACAGGTGCCTGATTTACTCTTGGAGTGGACTTTGACATTAAAATGTTGCAAATGGTATTTGTGGCTTTTCACAGAGTAGTGACCAAAATTTTCCTGAGAAATAAATTTGATCTTAAATCTGTTACTTTACTAAGTGCCTTGAATAGCCCCCAAAGTATGGCTATTAAGTGATCCACCTGTTGGGACTTTTTAGTAGGAAATTTTAAGGAAGTCCTGTAGGGGCCATTATTCTCTAATGACACAAATGAATCCCTACAACTCGGAAGAATTTTACTGGCACGTTATGACTTCCTTCAGCCTCAGCAAAGTACAGGTCTGACTGAACATTAATTTTTGTTTTTAGATCATTGTCCTTATAGTCCCTCAAAGGTCAGAATGGGTTCTGCACGTAAGCCTTGGGACAGAATGAGCTTGCACAGGTCGATCTTTGAACCTGGGAGAATGCACGGTCTTGGAGGTCTAACATGCGCTTCACTTGTTAACAACAGTTTTTTTATTTCAGATGACTTGCAGGGCTTAGGGTCTTGCATTCTCTGACCGCCGCCCCCCTCCCTAACCTAGTAGTTGTAAACCCTAATTATTTTGAAGAAAATTGTGTAGATGTTTTCTTACTTAATCTTTAGGAGTTACTGTTTTCCTTCCAACACCATGTTAGATGAGGTGGGGGTCACTGAATGGTGCGGAGCCAGAGGGCAGTGGAGAGTGTGTCGCTGTGCCCGTGTTGAGTGTTTTCTCTCATCCCTCTCTGCTTGGCATCGGGCTTGCTCTCGTATGGTGCCGAGCGCAGTGACGCTGTGAGCAAAGCAGACCTGTGACCAGTTTCGACAACCGAATTAAGGAAGGTTATTTTGGGGGCTGGGGGTTACTTTTTTGTAATCTATTTGGAAATAAACCGAAGTAGAAAGTAGTTAGGTTTGATTTTTTTTAATTTGCTTTTCAAATATTTTTCCCTAAAAATGATAGTACAGCTTTCCTCATGACCCACCCTACTTTGGAAAGGAAAAGGCAGTGACGATGTATTTTATCTGTTAGAGATTTTTAGTGACTAAAGTGCTTTTAACATAGAAAGTCAATGATATGGAGAGGCTTTACTTGCTCTGTCGAATAGGACATCATATTCAAAATCATTCTTACTAAGCTGTTGAGTTCTATTCCATGGAATTATGAAACCATGTTTTTAAAGACTCCATAGCCCATAAAGGGAGCCAGGTGCCTTTTGAATTGTGTTATTGCAAAAGATTTCCCACTAAACAACTGGGTGTGTCTGTGTTACATTTTTTTAAGGGAGTTGAGATTGAGTGACTCTTAACGTTTGAATGCCATTAATAGACATTTTTAGCTTAAAGAACCCTCTGAAATTTTTAGCTGTGCCTTGTCACCTTGAGAGAGACTTGCTGGAAAGGAACTCTTTAGTAAAGAAAGAATTCTGCAAGACTGAGTTCTCCCACCTAACATATTGTTGAGCGCTACGTGCTAAGGAAGCTGGAATCATTTTGGTCAGGCTGAGTGAACTCGTGGCAAAGACATTTCTGGTAACTTTCCTTAGATCAGATATGATCATTAAGATGATTTTGGTTTTTAGACAGGCAGTGGTAACAAAGCTGGTCTTTTCAGAGCCATGGTAGACCACACTAAAAGTTTAATGATAATATAGTTCATAGGGCATTTGTTTAACCTTGCTTAAAAATATTTTATAATTTTTGTGCTTTTGTTTTATAAGTTGTACTCTAACAGGCGTTAATAGAATTTCGGAGGGAGTTTGTTTTCTTTCAGTATGTGTTAAACAACAAAACCTCTTTGCTGGGAAATTCCTAGCAATAGCTTGTATAGGAGCTTGCACAATTGTATTTAGGTTTTAGATAATTCCAGCCTACCTAAAACTTCATGGAAATGAATTTGAAATATCATGAGGAAGCCTATAGCTCTGAATATTTTTCACTGATAATTTCTAGAACATTATTCATTTGTGACTACTTTGTTTAGGCAGAGGAACAGGAACTTTTCTTAAAAATACTTCCACCAAGGAGATTACAGATACCAAGATTATTTTTAACCTGTTATGTTACTCCAAACCTGATTTAACAGACAAAGTACAGTGCCTGAATGTAGATTTAATCAATGAATTTTATGTGATATTTTGATACCCTATACGAAGCACCCTTGTAGAGGTCTTTGTAGTTGCCACCAACTATTTGGGGAACAAAAGAAGTGGTCTCTATATTTAGCCAGTCTCCTACTAGGAAGACAGGGGTCTACCTTGAGAAGTCTCCCTACCCTCTTATAATACCTGTTGGCACAAAGCAAAGTGGTTTCAGTTAAAGGGGGGAGAAAGTGAATCCTTAGTTTGCAGACCCCACCGAACCTTTACTAAGCATGAACCTCATTGTTTTCTCTTTAATGTAGTGAAGCTGGGTGTCAAAATTGCACCAACCAGGATGTTGTTTGCTTTCTTCTAGATATGGGTTTGTGGAATTTGATGATCTGCGTGATGCAGATGATGCTGTTTATGAACTAAATGGCAAAGACCTTTGTGGTGAGCGAGTAATTGTTGAGCATGCCCGCGGCCCACGTCGAGATGGCAGTTACGGTTCTGGACGCAGTAAGCATTTAAAGGGCATTTGTATCAATAACATGCCTTTATTATTAAATGTTAATTTTTTAAAGTGATTACATTGCTGTTCCATTGAAATGTATTGCTGTTTAAGCCATTTGTTTTTTAAATTATGTATCTTTTAAAATGTAAAATTGCAAATAAACATCTTTGATAATATTTAATTTTAATTAATGGCATAAATTTCTTGTTTTAATACTTTATAAATATGTTTAATGATATGTGTTTGTGTTGTTGTTTTGTTTTTCTCTGTAATGCAATTGTTTAACATAGATTTAACAAAGACCTCAATGTTTTAATTAAAAGAATCCTTTGAGGCTAAGATGACTGCCTGTTCCATTTGCTGACCTTGGGTTACCTTTCCATGCGTGGCTCTTTGAACCATTGTGGCCCTTGGCTGACCAAAAACAGGAAGCCATGTGACGACCGCAACCTTTCCCCATTAGACCTGGGTGGTGAGGATCCCAAGGGTTAGACACAGATGAGATTAAACTGAAATAGGTGCCTGAAAATCTTTTTTATTTTTTCATATAAAATATCACAAAAACTTTAATCACTGTGAGTAACACCAGTAACTGATTTAGTAATTTGGTTACTTATTTCTAAATTGTTAATAGTTTTTAATTTATGCATGTTAACTTTAAATATAAACATTAACGAATACATATACTTACAACTTTGTAAATTGAATTAAATTTTCATGCTTAATTGATTGCTTTTTTAAAAAACCTAGTTTGGATTTGAGGGTGGGGATAGAGTTAAAATATATGTGTTATTTGGGGTGGGGGTGAATGGTATATTTAAGGGGAATATGTGCTATATCATTTTTTCCTTTTCCTCCACTGAAGTAATCTTATCCATTTGAACCTTCCAAAGGTGGATATGGTTATAGAAGAAGTGGCCGAGATAAATATGGCCCTCCCACCCGCACAGAATACAGACTTATTGTGGAAAATTTGTCAAGTCGGTGCAGCTGGCAAGACCTAAAGGTTTGGACCCTGTTAACCTTCTGGGATAAGGTTGGGCAAGAGTTGGCCCTGGCTGGGGTAGGTCAGTTGGAATGTTGACCCAATATGCCAAGGTTGCAGGTTTGATCCCAGGTCAGGGCAAAGAAAAGAACTGACCAAAGAATGCATAAATAAGTGGACCACCAAACCGATGTCTGTCTGTCTGTCTCCCTAAATAAATGGACGGGTGGTTGGGCAGAGTTATGGTTGGGAAAGAAGTGATTTTATGCAGGTCCAGGCATACACAGAATGTAATGGTATTTGGTATATGTTTGGAAGCCTTCTCAAAGCATTTGGAAATTCTCTAATTAAAGTTTCCATCTGAATACAAAAGACATCAGAATTTCACTACTACTGTATGTTATGGGACCATCACTCTAAGGACAGTCTGTGTTATGTGACATTTTCCTCCATGGAGAATGTAATAGAGCAGAGATTTTCAACCTTTTTCATCTCATGGCACACATAAACTACTGAAACTCTGGCGCACCAAAAATGTATTTTTTGCTGATCTAACCAAAAAAATAGGTATAATTTTGATTCATTCACACCAGCTGGCTATTGTTGTATTGGCTGTTGTCAGTTTTTTATTTGACTATCTAAGGGAAAAGAGGTCCATGCCCCTGACTAAATAGTCAGGTATTACATGTTTTAGAAATTCTTGTGGCACACCAGTCAAAAATTGATGTTATAGAGAGACACCAAGTAGGGTTTTTTTTTAATCCAATTAAAGAAAAAGCTACGACCACCAATGTTTCCTGCCACATTGGTTGTAATATGCATGTTTATGTCAGCTTCCAGTGTTAATCCTCTGGAAAAATGGTAATCTGACCCATGTTTTTTCATAAGGTTTATTTGTTTTTCATGGAATATTTATCCTGAAAAGGTTTTAATGTCAAAAAATTAGGTTCAGCACTGGCTGGTGTGGCTCAGTGGACTGGGTGTCGGCCTACAAACCAAAAGGTTGCTGGTTCGATTCTCATTCAGGGCACATGCCTGGGTTGCAGGCCAGATCCCCAATTGGGGATGTGCAAGAGGCAACTGATCAATGTATCTCCTGCACATTGATGTTTCTCTCCTTCTCTTTCTCCCTTCCGCTTAAAAAATTAAATTAAATCTTTTTAAAAATTAGGTTCAGTGCTGTATTGACCACCCAGTGTACTGATCCCAGCTTGCTCTTTGAGAACTGCATTCATTTTTAATCTCAGTAGGGAGAAAAGCTCATTGAGAAGTGTCTTTATTAAAAAATATACTTTCTTGATCAGGTTATCATAGTCCCACTTTTCTCCCTCCAGGAGTGTCTTAACCTGGATGGTCTTTAGGAGGAGAAAAGCCGGCGGTCTTCAGAGTTTCCTATCTTGCTTCCCATTTTTAGTCTGTCATTAAACAAGTCATCTCTAGCAAAGGGAGGCAGTGTATTTAGGCTCGACAATCCCCCCTCTTTTTTTTTTTTTAATTTTTCTCCCAGCAGTTTTTAGATAACAAAGATGAGATCCAGAAAAAGGTTAATTCACACAGTTGGTCTTGGCAAAAGAGCTGGGACTGGGGCATCTGCTGGTTGTCAGCACTGCAGCGGGCCCGTACTGAGTGTCCCCGGCGCAACTGCGCTCACGGAAGGGAGGCGCTCCGGTGCTCTGAGAGTTAAGGGTTGAACATGTTGGGTGGAAGCTGGAAAAGCTTTCAGAGTTTTGGGTTAAAATGGAGCCTAACCAATGTCTTCAGTTGGTTTTATGTTCTGTACCTTTGGTAGTTTCACTCTTGGGAAAAGAGGAATAAAGTCAATTTTCTAGTAAGTCAGGGCAGCCTTAAGAGCAGGATTGAATCCCAGCTCTGCCATTTATCAACTATTTTACTTTAGCAAGTTACTTTCCTCTTGTGTTTCATATTCCTCAACCATAAAATAGAACTAATATTCATTTCTACTCAAGGTTATGTGAGAATCAAATGCATTTTTATATAAAAAGCCTGTAATGGTTCCTGGTACAATAAATGCTAGCTATCAAGGAAATGCAAAAATAAAACAGATTTAAGGAATATTGTTACTTATTAAAATTTGTAAATTTGTTACACTCTGTGATGACGGCATGAGATGAAGTTTATATAGCCCCACACCTCCAGTGTCATAGAGGGTCGCCCACAGTGTGTGTGTGTGTGGCAGGGGGGTAGTGCAGTCACACGCTGGCTGCACATCAACGTTTCGGTCAGCGATGGACCACATGTCTATACAGTGGTGATACATACCACATGGCCTAGGTGTGTGTAGTAGGCTGTACCATCTAGGTTTGTGTGAGTGCGTTCTACAGTGTTCCCACGACGCAGCTGCCTAACAACACATTTCTTAGATTAGAACATATCCCTGTCATTAAGCACAGCGTGACTATTAAGAATTCAAGGTCTGAAGGCTGCCTGCTTATGCTCAGACCCTGGCTTACTCACTACCTGAGTGACTGAGCAGTTTACTTAACATCTCTATATTTCTCTTTTCTCTCATAGAATGAGGGCAGTGATTTTATCTACTCACATGGCTGTAATTAGGACTGAATTAATTAACTCATACCTATCATACACTAAAAACATTCAACATGGTAGCTGCAGTAAAGCAGTTTTTGTACAAAGATGTTCATTGCTGGGTTATGAATAACAGCAAAAGACTATATGTAACTTAAAAGTCACAACAATTGGGAAATCGTCAGAAAAAGTACTGGGCACATGAATTATGAAGATGTAAACAATTTATGATTCACTGAGCAAAGAAATAGTATCAAACAGCATGGGTTCACTATTATATATTAGTAAAATATAGAGAGGAAAGTAATAAATTGCTACTGAATTTTCCATACTGAGTGTATATCATACATAAAGAAATCTGGGGAAAGTGGCCATAAGTCCCTAAGTTTTAAATTCATCTAAATTTCATTTTCTTTTCAAACACTAATCAGAGCTCTCTTTAATATATCACTCTAGTATCTATTTAGCATGTTATAGTTTCTCATTGGATTATATTAAGTCCTTAAATAGAATGAGGAACGAGGCTTAGAGTAGTAAAGGGACAGGGGTGGTCATACCACTCTGAAACTAGCGCTGGACAATACTGTTCTGTGGCCCTCTTTTTATTTGCTTTGAAGGGATAACTTAATAATTTTAAATAATTAGAGGTTCTAGTTTTATAATCCCATTATGTATTTGTTTACATTATCAATATCTATACATGTTTTTAAACAAGAATTTATAAGGAAATGTAAAAAGTCCTAACTTAAAAGTAGTGATATGAGCCTCTAAAGCTTCTATAAACAAAGGACATGCCAGTATAACATCTAGAAAGTGATAGTTAACTAAAAATTTTTGTATTTACACATGTTTATTTAAAAGAACAGTTAAATACTAATAATCTCTACCACCTGCCTAAATCCTGATGCTACAAAGAACTTCCGTAAATGGTTGTTGTGTAGATGGAAATATTTTTAGAGTAAACTATTCTGAGGAAAGTTCTTCCTAATAGAAAGGAAAAACTTTTGTTATGGTGATTGCATTAGCTACTTTAGCAAAGTATGTGTTAACCTATTCAGCAATTTTCTTTTTCTCTAGGATTATATGCGTCAGGCAGGAGAAGTGACATATGCAGATGCTCACAAGGGACGCAAAAATGAAGGGGTGATTGAATTTGTGTCTTACTCCGATATGAAAAGAGCTTTGGAAAAATTAGATGGAACTGAAGTCAATGGCAGAAAAATCAGATTAGTCGAAGACAAGCCTGGTTCCAGAAGACGCCGGTCCTACTCCAGGAGCCGGAGTCACTCCAGGTACTGTAGGCGCCCTTGTGTGTCAGAGCTTGCTGTGAGTTCCTTAACAAGCACACGGAGAGCCCATTTTCATTCTTCTGCTGAGTTCTCAGTAACACGGTTCTGTCTGGTTCAATAACTAAGAACTTTGAACTGAGTATTTATTTGTAAAGCTCTTGAACTCTTTGTCATTAATGCAAACAGAAGTAAAGTCCTTTCTCTGAGGCAAGAATCAGTGACCTTCTTTCCCATTTCTTCTTGGGTTTGCCGGATCATACCCTCATTGGGGGCGAACGTGGTCACTTACTAGTCCCTTGGTTATTTTCCCAGATGCTCCTGCTACTCAGGAGTGGAGACTTTGTCTTATTAGGCAGCTGCTCTGCAAATGGTCCAGGCACTTGTAAAATAGGCAGATATGGTTCATGCCCTCATGTAACTCAGTCTAGTAGAGAAGACAGGCATTGAGAAAATACTTACCATTGTGCCAGGCTTGTCTAAGGAAATGTACACAGCACAGCCACTCTGGAGAACAGGCAAAGGCTTCCCTAAAGACACGTCATGGAAACTGAATCCGAAAGGATAACTTGGAGATGGTGAGCAGAGACTAGGCCTATGTGTTACAGTTTGTTTGTTTACTTATTTATTTAAGAGGGGGAAGGGAGGGAGAAATAGAGGAAGAGAAATATTATTGTGAAAGAGAAACATCGATAGGCTGTCTTTCATATGTGCCCCGACTGGAGACCGAACCCACAACACAGGTGTGTGCCCTGCTAGGAATGGAACCGGCAGCCTTTTGGTCCATGGGATGATGCTCCTACCGAGCCACACTGGCCAGGACGACGTGTCTTAATTCTCCTTTTAATCATTGATATATCCTTCTCCACCTTCTCTTTTTATTTTTCCCATGCATTTAGTTGTTTGAAGAAATGGTTATCTGTTTTTGAAGATTTCCCCATAGTTGAGATGTTGCTAATTGTGTTCTTGAGGAGGTGTTTAACACAGTCCTTTAGCCTATTTACCATATTTCCTGTAAACTCGCAGTTAGATGTTGAGTCGTTTAGAGTAAGTCCAGGTACGCTTCATAAGTACTGCTTTGTATTTCCTGTTGCCTCACTTATGTGGTGTCTGCATGTCCCACTTTGAATGATAATAACATGCGTCAGTGTGTTCGGGGGTTGTTAGCCTGTGCCATCCATTATAAGGCTCTGTCTGCATCGACATTCCACCTACTAGTTTTAGCATCTATTGGTAATCATTAGCTGGAGCCATTCAGTGGAGGTTGCAAAATGAAGACTTTTTAATTTTATCATTTCTTCATTTAAAGGCTGTAATTCTATAAAGGATGACTTTCCTCAGCTATTTGTTTATTACCCACAAATAGAGTTTTTATAGGATGTGCAAAATAAAGTTTAATACTTTTATTTACCAACTTTTAGAATATTAAATGTGCCCTAGCAACCCCCAAAGGTAGTAAGGGTGGTTGTTTAGTATCATTTTGAATGAATTCATGAATGTTTATACATTTAATGTTTCATTTATTGCAGTCATAGTTTTTTAATGCTCAAATTCCCCCCCCCCTTTTTTTTTGTCATTAGGAACCTTCAAGTTGGCTCCTGTTTCAGTATCTTTTGGTTTGGTTAGGTTTAGTTTTTGTGTGAATAGGCTTTACTAAATATTTCCCCAGACTTTTTATTGTGATCATTTTCAAACAAAGGTGAAAGAATGGTTTACAAGTATCCATATACCTTCCTTTTAGTTTCAGCAGTTGTTAGCATTTTGCCGTCTTCTGTGTGTGTGTGTGTGTGTGTGTGTGTGTGTGTGTGTGTATTTTCATGTATTTATACACACACATGCTGTACATTTATTTTGTTTTCGCATTTGAAGGGAAGTTGTATAAATTATGACACTCTGCTCCGGAATACTTCAGCATGTCTCCAAGAATGAGGATAACCACACTTCTGTTTTCTAACCTAAGAACATTAATAGAGATTCTATAAGATTATCTCATGTCCAGGCCATATTCCAGTTTCCCCAGTTCCATGGCTGTCTTTATAGCTGCGTGCGTGCACGCGTGCGCAGTGTGCTTCTGGCCAAGATCCAATCCAGTCCAGTCATGTATTGCAAGGGGTTGTTAGGCCTCTTCAGTCTGAAGCAGCCCTCTTTCCCTCTTGCCACTATGATAAATTTATTTACCTTAGGTTTTTTTGTTTTTAAATACTGTCTCACAGTCTGAATTTATTTATCTGTTTCCTCTTGGTATCATTAAATTTGAACGTTTGAAGTACCTGTAATCTGAAAGTTAGATCTAAAGAAGAGTAAATAAGATACAGGTTCAATATTTTTGGCGAGTCCTTTCATAGATGATGGTTCCCAGGAACGTTTGGAAGTTTTCCTCGTTCTGTCATGATGAGATATTCTGGGCCCTGTTTTTTGTTCATTTCCTGGCTTATACCTGCATCCCTAGTTGCTTTTGGTAGTCAGTGATAAGGAGAGTCCACCTTTTTGGCTTATTAAAGACTTTAAAAGTTTGGATTGTATTTTTAAAACGGCTCTCTGGTCACAGTGACTTGAATAGATGAGACAGGTAAAGGTGTGTGCTGGGGGCTGTTGTGGGACCAGGGGGAGATGGTCGGCAGCAGAGGTGGAGAGACTGGAGAAGAGGCAGAATCATCAGTGTCTAAGATGAGGGGGAGAGAAGAGTCAAGTGGTGGTGAGGAAGTGGGTAAATAATGGTAGCATCTGTGGAAATAAGGAAGGAACCCAGCATTGCGGGTCTGGGGGAAAAGTTGGTTCAGGATTATTAGAGTTGCTAAGAGTTTTGGGTAAGCTCTCCAGGTGGAATATTTGTGAGTAACTAGATCTGTGGGCCTAGAGCGCAGGAAAGAGCTCTTCCTCAATTTTGTGCCTGCGCAGTCATTGCTGTACATACTTTGTTACTGAAAAATGTCTTAGTTGACTATTCAGCTAGGCCTTTGTCAGCAAGTTTAAAAAAAAAATATGTTCTTCCTTTAGGTCCCGTTCTCGCAGCAGGCATTCTCGGAAGAGCAGAAGCCGAAGCGGCAGCAGCAAAAGCAGTCATTCTAAGAGTCGATCTCGGTCCAGGTAGGTCTTCCTTCATGTAAGCAGAGGGTGTGAGCCGGAAACCATTTGCCGCATTGATTTTAATGATGTTTCTACTAGTTTAATCTCACCCATAATTCTCCACCTCTGGACTAGAATCCTGGGGGTTTAGAATGCAGTCGTTGGCCTCTCATTGTATTGTGGGGCAAAGCTCCATATTTCTTTGACCTTTCCATGTGATGATTAGCATCAGGTATGTAGTTGCATGTGAATTCGACATCACTGTGTCTTCTCAGGTCGGGCTCCCGTTCCCGGAGCAAGAGCCGTAGCCGCAGCAAGAGCCGCAGCCGCAGCAAGAAAGAGAAAAGCCGCAGCCGCAGCAAGGATGACAAGAGCCGCAGCCGCAGCCGCAGTGTGGACAAGCGCCGCAGCAAGAGTAAAGACCAAGTCGAAGAGAAGATTCAGAACAACAATAACACCGGGAAGTCCAAGAGCAGGAGTCCCAGTCGACATAAAAGCAAAAGTAAAAGCAGAAGCAGGAGTCAAGAGAGGAGAGTGGAGGAGGAGAAGCGGGGGAGCAGGAGCAGGAGCAAGAGCAAGGAGAAGAGCCGGAGTCAGGAGAAGGGCGTCCACAAGAGCAGGAGCAGGAGCAAGGGAGGCAGCCGGAGCCGCAGCCGGAGTCGCAGCAAAAGCAAGGACAAGAGGAAGGGGAGGAAGAGAAGCCGGGAAGAGAGCCGCAGCCACAGTCGGAGCCGGAGCCGCAGCAAGAGCAAGAGGAGCAGAAAACACAGCAGCAAGCGAGACAGCAAGTCAGGCAGCAGCGAGAAGAAGAAGAAGGAAGACGCAGACCGCTCCCAGTCCAGATCGCGGTCCCGCTCAGCGTCAAAGGAGCGGGAGCGGGCCAAGCCCGAGTCCAGCCAGAGGGAAGGCCGAGGAGAGAGCGAGGATGCTGGCACCAATCAGGAGACCCGGTCCCGGTCAAGGTCCAATTCTAAATCCAAACCAAACCTTCCATCAGAATCACGCTCCAGATCAAAGTCTGCTTCAAAAACCCAGTCTCGGTCCAAGTCTAGATCCAGGTCTGCATCCAGATCGCCTTCCCAGTCTAGATCTAGATCCCACTCAAGGTCCTAACTGGCTACGACCACAGCTGGAACTACCCGAGAAGTTTTGTACATGTTTGGTAGCCGTAGCACAAGTGATTGAAGTAGAACATACGTCACTGCTGTACATTTTTAACTCCCCTAATGGTGTGTCTACAATTGTTAAATCTAAGTGCTTCCTCTCTGTAAAGCCTCCTGGCACCAGGCCTTCCTGCTCGACTGAAAACAATCTTCTCTTTGAAAACCCCCTTTCCTCATGGCCCACAGTAGAATATCCAAAATGCCTTGGCTTTCAGGCCTGGCTTTTCTTACAGGGAGCTCAGTACCTGGATGGGTTTAAGGCTGGAATGATGACATAGGTAGGTATGGTGAGTTCAGCCATTTTTGCCCCTGGATTGATGCCCTTTGATGTATGCCATTTAGTGAAAGTGCTAAGTCCTAAGTTTCCTACCACTTTGGTTTCATATTTTTGAACTTAACAAAGTTGTGAATAGCACAGTCAAGGAAAATCGATACCTGCAGTAACCCATAGGAAATAAACTATAGAGTTCCATATTCTGGTATTGTGATTATATTGTTTTATATTAAAAAAGAAAAGAAAAGAATTTTTTTTTAATTTTATTTTTCCCCGTCTTGCAAAGTATAGTGACCCCTGTTTCCATTAAATTTGAATAAAGACTATTTTTGCTTGACAAAATTTCATGGTGCTTGAATCAGAGTTGCATTTCCTGATCTCTCTTGATAACTCTTTTTCTTAGCATAAAAAGTTCAGTGTATAATGACTCCTTGACTTCTTGAGATCATGGTTAGGGAGCCAACACTTTTTCCTAAAGGATTTTTCTTACCCAGCAGAATAAAGAAATTTAGTTTCTTAGGAACTTACAGCCCTTCCTGTCTTAAGAACCTGGGATTTGGCCCTGACCATTGTGACTTGGATGGGGGTCATACTGCAAAGCAAAGAGGCACCAGTTCAATTCCTGGTCAGAGCAGATGCCTGGGTTGCAGGTTCCATCCTTCAATGGGACACATACAAGAAGCAGCCAATCAATGTTTTCCTCCCTCTCTGCCTTTCCCTCTCTTAAAAAAAGAATCTTAAAAAATAATTTTTTAAAACTTAGGGTTTGAACTCAGGTTCAAGCGGGGTTTCCACAAGACTGAGTCTGCTTTCCTTAAGCAAAAATTTCTAAGGCTGCAGGACAATGCCACCAGCCCACCACTGTGAATAAATTTTAAGTGCTCTGTCATTTGATGAAGACTCAAAGGCCTGCTTTGGCGTTCCCATTTGTCCAAGCGCAGGTCATCACCCCTCATTGCAGGTACCAAGGGAGGAAGAGCAGAAAGATGGTTCATTTTAGCTTCTATTGTGGGAAGCAGTGTATTAATGCCCACAAGAATGTACTCAATGGGGAATTTTTCAAAAAGGAAGGAGCTGAAGAAATACAAAAGCCCACTATTAGCCTCTGGATGCTCAAGATCCACACATACCCTTTCCATATTTAACCTTTCTCCCCTCTCCCCCCAAAAAAGTAGAAGGCAAAAGTAGGAATAAAAAACAAGGGTAATGATAGAAATCAATAACAAATGTATTAGATATTAAACTATATCAGTAATCACTTGAAATGTCAATTATGTAGCTGAAAGACTTACCAGTCTTGGCCTATGTGCCTCGGTTGGGCATCATGTAAACTGAAAGGTCACAGTTCGATTTCTGGTCAGGGCACATGCCTAGGTTGTGGGTTCGGTTCCTGGTCAGGGCCAGTGGGAGAGGCAACCAGTCAATGTTTCTGTCCCTCTTCCTCCCTTTCTCAAAAAGTAAATAAAACCTTTAAGTGGGTTTTTAAAAAGAACCAGCTGTATGTTTAAAGAAACCCATTTTAAATACAGAGACATTGAAAGTAAAGGGATAGAGAAAGGTGTCATGGTAACAAAAGAAAGGTGTAGGGGGTGGGGGTATAAATGGTGATGGAAGGAGACGAGTGATACACAAAATACAATATACAGTTCACATCAGTGATTGACAGATCCAGCAGGGAGAAAATCAGTAAGGACAGTTAAACTGAAGAGAGCCATCAGTGAGCATCTAATTGACAAAATAGCAGAATACACATTCTCAAGTTTAACATGAAACATTCAAAATAGACCACATTCTGTTCCATAAAAGACAAGAAATTGAAAGGCCAAGTATGCTCTCAGACCACAGAATTAAACTAGAAATCGATAACAGAAAGCTAGGAAGTTCTAAGATTGTTGGACATTAGAGACATTTCTATACACACGCATCAAAGAAGTGTCAAATATTTTGAGCAAATGTAAACAGCTTATCAAAATTTGTGAGATGTAACAAAAGCAGGTCTTGGGAGTTTCCGGCAGTAAGTGCTCCTATTTGAAAAAGAAAAAAAACCTAAAGTCAATAATCTTAAACTCCTCTCTGGCTGGTGTGGCTCAGTGGATTGAGTGCTGGCCCGCAAACCAAGGGGTCACTCGATTCCCAGTCAGGGCACATGCCTGGGTTGTGGGCCAGGTCCTCAGTAAGGGGCATGTGAGAGGCAACCACACAGTGATGTTTCTTCCTCTCTCCCTACATTCCCCTCTGTCTAAAAAAAATCTTAAAAAGTAATAAAAGTTTCCTCAAATAATTTTAAAAAATAATCTTAGGCTTCTGCCTTAGGAAACCAGAAAAAAGAAGTTAAATCCAAAGTCAACAAAGGAGAAAGCAGAAATCAATGAAACTGAAATGAATTCTATAGAAAAAACAAAACCAAAGCTGATTCTTTCAGAAAATTTATAAACTTAAAGCAAGGCCAAGCAATTAAAAAAAGTAGATATAAACAACTAATAATCAGAAATGAAAGGGGCCATATCACTACTGGTCCTGTGAACATTAAAAGGATAAAAATGTTATGAACAGCTTATCCCCACAAATTTGATAATCTAGATAAAATGGAACAATTCCTTTAAGAACACTACCAGAACTAATAGAGAATCTGAACAGGCCTAAACCTATTTTTAAAAATTGAATCAGTAACAAAGAGAAAGCCCCAGGCCCAACTGATTCACCGGTGAATTCTAGCAAACATTTAAGAAGGAAGTATACCAATATTTAATCTCTTCCAGAAAATAGAAGCAGAGAAATATAAGATCTTTGATTTCTTTCACCAGAGATCTTGTATATAATTTGTTAGATTTATACCTAAGTATTGCATTTTTGAAGGGTGGTAGTGTAATTGGTATTATTCTTAACTTTGAATTCTAATTGTTCATTGCTGTACATAGGAAAGCAAAGACATTACAAGAAAGGAAAAGTACAGACCAATATTCATGAACGTAGATTTTAAAAACCTCAACAAAATATTAGCAAGTAGAATCCAGTGGTGTATAAAAAGAATTACACAATAGCTCATGCAGGGTGGCCTCAGGCAGAACACAGGTGGGAGCTGACCGTGGCCTGCACCGCCTGGGAAACCTCAGAGCCTGCGCACCCAGTGGACAGCTACAGACCACATCAGAGCATCACCACCCTGTCCCTGCAAAGCTAGTCCTCCATGGAGGATGGAGGTTGGTGGTCAGTGGTCACAGCCAATCCTTGGAGCTGACTGTCCTAAGTAAATCCATTGACCTGCCAACAAGCAATCAAGGCTCAACTACAACGGGAGGGTGTACCAGTCCACACAAAGGACACACCTTGAGTACTCAGCTTGGGTGATGGGAAATTGTGCCACTGGACCCTACAGGACACCTACTACATTAGACCACACTACCAAGATAGCGAGTCATAGCAGCTCCACCTAATATATAGAAACACACACAGGGGGTTAGTTACAGGGAGGATGCCAAAACAAGGAGACAAACATAGCCCAACTGAAAGAATAAATCAAAACTCCAGAAAAAGAACTAAACAAAATGGAGATAATCTATCAGATGCAGAGTTCAAAACACTGGTTATAAGGATGCTCAAGGAATTTAGTTAGGATCTCAACAGCATTAAAAAATCTAGTCAGAAACAAAGGATACACTAATTGAAATAACACTTTACAGGGAAACAACAGTAGAGAGGATGAAGCTGAGAAATCAATGATTTAGAACATAAGGAAGCAGAAACAACCAACCAGAACCACAAGAAGAAAAAGGAATCCAAAAATGCGAGGATAGTGTAAGCAGCCTCTGGGACAACTTCAAGCATTCCAATGTTCACATAGGGGTACCAGAAGGAGAAGAGAAAGAGCAAGGAATTGGAAATCTAGTTGAAAAAATAATGAAAGGAAACTTCCCAAATTTGGTGAAGGAAATAGATGTGCAAGTCCAGGAAGCACAGAAAGTCCCAAACAAGATGGATGCAAAGAGGCCCACTGCAAGAAACAATAATTAAAATGCCAAAGTTTAAAGATAAAGAGAGGCTCTTAAAAGCAACAAGAGGGAAAAAGTGAGTTACCTACAAGGGAGTTCCCATAAGACTTTCAGCTGATTTCTCAAAAGAAACTGCCGGCTGGAAGAGATTGGCAGGAAATATTCAAAGTCATGAAAAGCCAGGACCTACAGTCAAGATTGCTGTACCCAGCGAAGCCATCATTTAGAATCAAAGAGCAGATGAAGAGCTTCCCAGACAAGAAAAAAACTAAAGGAGTTCATTATATCACCAAACCATTATTATTTCAAACGCTAAAGGGACTTATTTAAGAAAGAAGATCAAAACCATGGACAATAAAATGACAATAAATACCTATCTAACAACTGAATCTAAAAAAACAAATTAAGCAAACAAGAACAGAGACAGAATCATAGGTACGGAGAGGGTTTTGATGCTTGCCAAGTGGGAGGGGGGTGTGGGGGCATGGATGAGGAGGTGAGGGGGTTAATAAGTACAAATAGGTAGTTACAGAATAGCCACGGGGATGTAAAGTACAGTATAGGACATGGAGTAGCCAAAGCACTTATACGCATGACCCATGGACATGAACAACGGTGTGGAGATGGCCGAAGGGAGTCGGGGTGCTGGGTGGAGAGAGGCAAAAGGGAAAAATTGGGACAACTGTAATAGCACAATCAATAAAATATAATTAAAAGGTAAAAAAAAAAATACACACCAAGACTAATTGCAGTTTATTTCAGGTATGCAAGACAGCTCAACATTCAAAAGCCAATTAATGTAATCCATTACATGAATAGGGCAAAAAAGAAAAACGACATGAGCATGTCAATAGATGTAGAAAAAGCATTTTTAAAAAACCAGCACTCATTCAGGGTAAAAACTCAGCAAGCTAGGAATAGTTTCCCTCATCTTGATAAAGAAATCTACAAAAGACCTACAGATAATGTCACACATAATTGTAAGAAAATAGATGTTTTTTCCCTAAGAGCAGCAAGAAGGCGAGGATGTTCCTTCTCACTACTCCTGTTCAACGTAGCATTGGGTTTCCCAGCTAACGCAGTAAGACAAGAAAAGAAAATGAAAGATAAACAGATTAGGAAGGAAGAAAAACTATTTGTAGATTATATGATCAACTCTAGAAAATACCAAAGAATTGAGAGGAAAAACTCCCAAAACTAAAGCAATTACAGCAAGTTTTCAGAATACTAGATTAATATACAAGTCTACTGTTTTCTATGTACAGCAATGGACAATTAGAATTTAAAGTTAAAAACAGTTCCATTTGCATTGCTTAAGGTATAAATCTAACAAAATATGTACCAAATCTCTGATGAAACAAATCAAAAGTCTAAATAAATGGAAAGAGATTCCATGTTTATGGATAGGAAGACTCAATATTGTTAAAATCTCCGTTCTTTCCAACTTGAGCCATAGATTCAATTCAATCCCAATCAAAATGACAGCAAGTTATTTTGTGGCTATTAAGCTGATTTTAAAGCATATATGAGAAGGCAAAAAAAGGAAAACCCAAACAAACAAACCCAGAACAGCCAATGCAACACTGAAAAACAAAGAAGATTGATGCTACTCAACTTCAAGGCTTACTGTAAGCTTCAGTAATCAAGACAGTGTGGTACTGGCTAAGGAACAGATAAGATAGATCAATGGGACAAAACACAGAGCCCAGAAATAAACCCACACAAATATTGTGAACTGATTTTAGGCAAGGAGCAAAGGGCAATTCAATACAGAAAGGATCATCTGGTTCCCTCAGCTTCCCCCAAAATAGAAGCAGGAAACTGTGAGGAAGCAGTCACACATTGACACATGTCTGCTACACATTTGAGATATCTGGTGTCAACCTGGAGGACTCCAAGACGAACCAGATGAACCAGACATGGGACTTCTCTTCAAGAAGCTTCAGCTAGTTGCAAAGAGTTTTGTTTTTAGTGTTAAAACCCAAATAAACTTAATCCATGCTCAATGCAGCTATATGAGGCAAAAACCCCAGGATTTGAAATACACGTGCTTCATTTCCCTACCAACATGCCAAGTGAGTCAAAGAGGCACAAACCCAGAACTTGTACCTATCAGTGTAGCCGTCCTGGAAGTGTGCAGGCCACGCTGGGCACCAAACCCAAATGGCACGCACAAGAATGTCTTTAGCAGCCTTCTTTGTAATGGCCCCAAACTAGAAACAACCCAAAAATCTTTTCTAATGTAGCATATAAGTTGTGGCACATTTTTACAACAGAGGACTATGCAGATGAAAATGAACAAACTATAGACATGAAGTCACATGGGTGAATCCCACAAACAAAGAAGCCAGACACAAAGGAGCACAAATTCCACATATATAAACTTTTAAAACAGCCAAACTAAAATGTCGCTGTTTAAAAAACAAACTAAATTATAGTATTAGTGGTCAGAATAGCATGTTCATTTGGATGGAGCGGGGAGGTAATCATTGGAAAGGACCTTGCGGGGCCTCCTGGGACCTGGCCATGTTCTGTTTCTGGACCAGAGAGGACTGGGTGGGAGTTTGCTTCATGAAAGCAGACTGAGCTGGACATTCAGGTTTTATGGACTTTCCTGGAGGTGTAGTATACTTATGATGAAAGAGTTTTACCAAAAGGCAAGTGAAAACTTAATCAGTCCCATTGGAATCAAATTCCTTCTTTCACAAGGTAGAATACTTATCCTTAAGTCACACTTTCCAAGAATCCTGGTGTTTCTGAGAGTTTATTGAGAACTTCAGGGTATTCCTAAAGACATGCAAATTGGAACCACCATTCTGTATTATTTACACCTGGTATCTATTATGAACCCCCTACATCCCCACCCCCAGCAGCCCAGCTGATTCTGAACTGGTGGCCATAAATCACCCTAATGACAGAGAAACCTAGAGAAAGCAGTACCCTCATTCTGGGGCATTCACCCTGAGAGAACAGCTCAAACAAGGGAAAGAGCACCAGGTAGAGAGGTCTTTACCCTGCCATTATTTGTAACAGAAACAGCGGAAGCCATATAAGTCTGACAATAGGACAGTCACCAAACCCAGTCTCCTAAGTACCCTCACGGGCCGTTCTGTACCCCCTGGATTGGTACACAGTTCTCAACTCCATTCCTAAATTTAGTTTTTAAAAGATTTTATTTTAAGAGAGAGGGGAGGGAGGGAGAGAAACATCAACCAGTTGCCTCTCGCACGCGCCCAACTGGGAGCCTGGCCTGCAACCCAGGCATGTGTCTTCCCTGGGAATCAAACTGGCGACCTTTTTGTACAAAAGCCGGCACTCGAGCCACTGAGCCACGCTTGGGCTATTTCTATGAAAAAGCTTATAAAGGTTTACATACTGAATATCATTTAGTGAATCATCTTTATTGGCAAGATTCAAATTACCTGAAAAGAAATGAAAACTTCACAACCACGCACATCAGTGACTAGGGCCTGGAGGTGTTTTTGTCATTTATCTATCATAGAGTTGGCTGTAGACTCTTTCGATGATCTTTGAATCACCTTAATGTTTTCCCTCAAGCATCTCTTGGCAAGAGATTTGAAAAGTCTCTTGGAGCATCATCAGTGGTTCTTCCGAACCAGAAATCTGTGCGGGACCCAGTCATGTCACTTATGCATGGCAAGAGCTCCCAGGCAGGGGTACATTGGCTTAATGATTGGAGGAGCCAGTGTCCTGTGAGGAAACTCTGCCAGGACCTGCGACTATCTGAGGACATTTTCTCATCCTTTTGGCAACTGGAA